CATCGAAGGGACAGAAGCACTGAGCCAGTGGCCTGCCTCTTTTTCCCTGGTACCCAAAGAGGGAAACTAGCCTCCCTACACAGTGAAGTGGGCCTGCTCGTCAGGACACTCACGGCTGCACTCTATCGTTGGGCGCGGCTATCCCTTCGGAGCTTGGTGACAGGAAAGCAGCTCCAGATGAGACACCCCTGGACAGATGACACTGGCAGGATCTGTCTGCTCCACACCTAGGCCTGACTTCAAACCGTAGGCCTGAGAAACAGCCGCGGGGGAGGCCTGGGCCCAAGTGCCTGCCAGACAAGCCAAGAAGCACCCCTCCAGGCTCTCCCAACACGAAGGTAGCAGCTTTTGTATGAAAAGAAAAGCAAGAGATGATGCATCAAACCCCAGAAAAAGTTAAGCCTGTGGATGGAAAGAACTGTGTCCTGAGCATTAAAAAAAAACCCTAACATGGAAAATGAGGCTTCAAGAAAGGAACTTAAGAAAGAAATTTAAGTCATACAGGAAAACCACCTGCAAATAATGGACAGAAACCGGGCAAGCAACCTCCTGTGGCTGCATCCTGCCCTGCCCCAGAGCCACAGCGTCCTGCCTGAAGGTCAATCCTATCTTCATAGCAGCACATGTGAATAATTTATATTATTCTTATTAAATAATATTGCTTCTAGGCAGAGGTATCACGAAGGAGGCTTGTGAAAGGCCGTGGGAGCAGATCTCTGCAGCCAAGCCTGGAGGGTCTCAGGGTATGTAGCCATCCTGCCCACTGACCGTGGCGGCCATGTGGCGTCATGTGGACAAAGCTTCCTTCGGCTTAGCGACGCTGGGCTGTTGTCTAGGCGCACAGGCCTTTTTTGGTAACATCCTGGAGCGAGCAGTGCAGTTTATTCAGCACTGAAACGAGGGGCAGCCATCTGTAACGGGGCCTCTGGGCCCTTCCTGCAGAGGCTATGTTCTCCAGAGGGGAAGGAGAGGCGGAGGCTGGAGGCTGGAGGCTGGAAGGAGCCCTGAGACTGCAGTGTCCTCGTCCCAGCAGAATCACGCAAGTGCAAGGCAGAAGCTGAGACTTTTAAAGGAAAAAGCTCCTTTAGGTCCACCAGTTGGTTTCTATACTCAAAAAGTACTGGGGAAAAAATCTTTCTCTTAACACTTTCTCACATTCAACTAAGCTTTTGTGTTTTCAAATGAGGTCTGTTTGTCTCTATAAAGTAAGAAATTGACTCCAAAGCCAAAGAGCAGCTTTTCCCCCTTGAACTCTGAGTTGCTGAGGGATTTCTGTCTACAGAGAGCTCTTCAAACACAGCTCCGTCAGAATGTTCCAGGGAGGTACTGTTTGAAAGGAAATAACAGCCCTTATTGAGTGATGTCCGGGATCCCAAACCAGTCTTTCACCAGCTCCAGGGAGGTACCGAAGAGAGTTCTAGGCGTCAGGTGGCTGGAGTCTGACCTGGCTGGGCCTCTGGGCCCAGGCAGCCTGGACGGGCAGGGAGGCCACCGCCAAGCCCCACCAAACCCAACCCTTCCCTCATTGAGCAATTCAGAAACCCACTTCCACCTTTTAAAAAATTTGGCTTGGTTCTTAAATAGAGAAGGGGAAAAAAAAAAACAACACAAATGAACAGCAAATCCCAAAGATGGAACAAACCAGACCCCCAGAGGAAAACTGGCAACCATGGCCACAAGTGCACACTTGGTTCCAGGTTCTGTCGCCACAGCTCTGCCTCGCTTTCTTCACGCCTCCAGGCAAGCCTGGAGCGGGGGAACCTTCTAGAATGAGTGAGTCGGAGGGGCTGCGGCCTGAGTCTAGGGAGCCACTCTGGTCCAGACCTACCTTCACAGGGGATTCAAGTTGTATAATCTTTTAGACCTAAGAACAACCTAAGGCCTTCAAAGGTGCTGTGTTACTGATGCCCACAACAAAGGCCAGTGGCACCCGAGAGCTCCAGCAGAGTGCTGATGACTCATGCCTGCACCTCCCTTGGGTGTCAGGAGCCCTGCCAACTCTTGTCAGTGCAGCTGAAAAGTGCCACCGAGTCACCTCAGCCCTGGCAGCCAGCAAGCTCCAGGGCACAACCCCACTCACACTCCACATTTCTTGAGAAATGCTCAACTGTTCAAGAACAGCTGTACCCATGACCTTCTTCCTGTGCAGAGTGCACTTCTGTATTTGGTGCTGGAGTCTGATGACCTGTCCAGGAGGCAGGCAGAGAAATGGATGCTCGGGGACCTCATGGAGGGGAGCAGCTGTGGCAACAGGGCCTGGCACCCCACTTTAGAAGCAGGCAGGGCAAGACCTTCCCATCGCTATCACCCGCTGACCTCTTCACGAAGACCACACTGGATGCCCAAGCCCCAGGTGACTAAAGAGCAGGTTCTCAGAGCCCTGAGGCTGAGTGACACGCCTGACTGAGCTGGGGTCTGCGACCCTCTGCCATCTACACTTGCAGCTGGTTACAGGACCCCTGCACTGCGAGGCCGCCGTTCTGATAGTTTCTGGCCTCGTGTCATTGCTTCCACGGACAGTGTAGTTGCTGACTGTCCACGGTCAGTTCCAGGGGTACTGGGTAACCTGGCTACTACGTGCAGCTTCCTGGGCCTCTGGCCACCTACCTCAGTGTAACTTCTGGTGCAAACGGAGCAGGCTGCCTGGGCCCATGACCAAAACCCATCAAGAAGCACACTGTAAGCCCACAGCGGTGGTCCTCAGGCTCGGCTCTCCAGGACCACAAGTCCCAGCAGCAGCTCTCTGCCGAGCTGAATGTCAACCGTCCATGTCTGTCCTCTGCTTCCAGCTCCGTTCGCCCACCCTCCACTCCCTTCCTGGATCACTATCACAACAGACAGCGGGCCCATCACTGGGCAGAGACAGAACCGAAACATCCATGAAAGCAAAGGGTCAGGTCAGACAGACTGGCGCCGGCTGTCCCCAAGCAGTGGGGATGGCCCACAGCACACATGCCCTGCTGAAGACTGCGCGCGGCCCTGGGGTGCAGGCAGGCAGCTCCGAAAGGCCAGTCTCAGACCCCAGCGGCGGGGCCCTTGTGAGGAGACTGTCACTGTGCCTCGGTGCGCCCCACGCGCACGCCCAGCCACGCACACACCAGACACGTCTCAAGGAAATGGTCATAGCAAGTAAGTATGGACCAGCAGTGCGAGCTCATCGCCTGGGGAGGCGGACGCCACTGAGAACAGCAGGCCAGGATGTTGTCACCCGGGCCCCTCGCTCTGGAACTTCACCCAAGGCAACAGGCACAGGCTTCCAACGAAGACCTTTTTCCCGCTGAAAGTTCAGTGCTATAGAAACGACAGGTGTGGGGCTTAGGGAACACCAGACCAGGAACTTCCCCTGGTGCAGGGAGGAAGGGGACGCTCCACTCTGGCCCCCAGTGATGGATGACAGTGGCGTAGGGACCGCGGGGGCGGTGAGATGGCCCGCCATGCGTACCGCTCTTCGGGCTCCAGCCAGGTCCCTCTGCACATGAGCTGGTCAGGCCGGGATTGCCTCAGACCTCGCTTCCAGGCTCTGTCTGTTTTGAGCTGGTGCTGTTGGCCAGGGTGGTCTTGCAGCCTGCTCTTCCCCCTCAGATTTGATAGAGGCTGAGGTTCCTTCAGGCTGAGGAAGCCGCTTTGCTGGTGAGAGGTTAAAACCGTTGTCTGACTCTCGACCTCCGTCCAAGTTGCTGTTTTCAGTTGTGTCCATGACCACAGCAATGCCAGGCAGCTGGCAAGGTACAAACTACCTTCACAGAGGCGTTCTTGGCATTTCCTGAGAACGTTCTCCAGGAGCAGTGAGAAACCCCAACCTGGGCTGTCCATCAGATGGCCCCTGCACACCGCCTTCCTGGTGACTGCTCTCAGGTGGTCCTCCCACCCCAAGGGACAAGATCAACAGTCAGCAGGAGCTAGAGGTGGTGGGGGACAGCCTGCTCCCAGCTGCTGCTGACAGACCCCAGAGCCACTGGTGCCGCCAGTAGGAAAATTAGTTCCATTTAAAACAGCAGGTGGGTTTGGGTAGTGAAGACACGAACCTGACGAGAACGCGGCACGGCAGTGACACTCAGCACGGGCTCTGAGAGTGGTTTGCTGGCACCGGCACCAGCAGCAGAGAACACAGGGTCCTGCTGTTCTGGGGCAACACGGTGGGAAGGCCTCCTGCCCACCCATGGCCACCAGGAGCACCAGCCCACAGTTGCGCGGCCTGCGTCTGGGCCCACACAGCACCGCAGGGGGCGCTGTGGATGCTGACTTCCAGCTGCTCTTCCACACAGCTTTCTGCCTGGAGCCGTCAATCTTTCTTGAAGTTAACAGACAGAGCGGCAGATTTATTCTTGAAGGAATCCCAGACCCAATGTGTTACACTGTCCATAGATGAAAACCCCAAAGACAGATGTTTCCTTTTCTGTTTGTCTCAGTTTGATGTGACTCCCAGCTCTACATTAAAACAAAACAGACCTGGGGTGCAAAGCCAAACTGAGCCCCCCTGCCCTGATTAATGCCAATATTTTCTATGTCACTTTTAGGGAGAAGACGTCGTGAAATCGTCTGAAATTGGGCCGCTCTCGTCTTTCTCTGGCCTGTTCAGATGGAGCACAGGCGGGGCCTTATCCCTGGTCCTGCCCTTTCTTGCCCAGGGCTGCGTGATCCAGGTGTGTCTGTCGGTCCTCCCCGGGAAGCAGGGCGCTCCAGATTTTTGCCTCTGCGTGTGGCCTGGTCTGCTGTGGTACATTCCTTGAGACGCTGCTAGACCTTCCCCCATGCCCTTGACACAGGCTTGGGGAGAGAAGATGGTGCGCTAAAGGAGAAGGAAATAGAAACAAAGAATTCCCAGAATCATACAATCAGCTGTCTGAACTTGTTTATATGTTTTGTTTTGAATCATAGCAGGGGCAGGAGAGAAAATGGAAAGGAGGATGAGTGTGTCCAGGTGCAAGCAGATGGGGCCATCCTGTCTGTTTGGCACCGTGCTTCCGCAGCGTGGAGTCTGCTCCCCACATCCAGGAGCGGCAGCGCTGTCGGCATCACGATCAGCTCCAGAATTCTTCGTGGCATGCGTCCCGCTCCACCTCCGTGCAGATGACTTCATTCCCCGGAGCCTGGCGCCTGCGGGCCAGAGGCCGTGATTACTCCAGCCTGTGTGGTCACAGTTCCACTGGGCTCTTCCACTCGGGACCGCTTGACCTCGGGCTCCCCGGTGGGAGAGGTGGAGGTGGAGGTGGTGCTGGCAGAGGCTGGGGTGGTGGCGGCTGTGACTGCCGATGCTACCGCCGCCGGCTCCTCAGGCCCCACCTCACACACCCGGGTGACCACCACTGGAGTGGAGGAGCTAGCCTGGGTGGCAAGGAGCTGCAGGGGGCTGGTGAGGGCTAGGGGTAGAGGAAAGAGAGATTTAAACAGGAAAATCACCCAGGATCCCCACTAATTATTCTGGATATAAGCCAAAATCACTGTGTGAGAAGGGAGGGAGGGACCCCGACTCCAGCTCCCTGGCTAGTGTCAGCCCCACTCAGGCCAGGTCTTTCCTCCTGGATGCTCTCCCTTCCCTGACCTTGGCCCTCTGCCAGAGGGGCTCCATCCCTGTGAACTTCAACCGCCGGCTATGTCACAGCCTCATGGCCCCTGAAGTGGCGATCGCTTTCGTGGATGGAGGCCTCCAACTCCCTGCGGGTCCTCCCTCACCTGGTGCAGAACCCCAAGTGGTGCTTCTCTGGGCCAGCCACATGAAATCGAACCCCGCCACCCCCACGAAACACTCCATGCCTGGCCCTGGCTTTTCTTGGGACTGCATGTGCTGTTTCACTTCCCTCTAAGAGCTGCAGTCTCAGCCAGCGGGCTGACCTCTGGGGCATGAGCATTCTGCCTCTCCTTAGTGTTACCACAGTGCCTGTGCACAGCACTCAACACAATGACTGGCACTGCCTTATCGGGAAGAACATCCTCCCGCTGCACCAGCCCCAACCTAACTCCAGAGCGTAAGAGGAGGGAGCCAAGGACAGCGGGCCTCACCGTAAGTGCTGCCGGCTAAGCTGTTAGTGGGGACAGCGTGCTTCCCATTCTGGGTCACGGCCCGGACTGGAAGATGGTGCTGCCCGATGGTCACTGGGGTGGCTGGTTGCAGAATGGTGACTGTGTGTCCGGGGACCCCTGGGGCCATCTGGCTGGCCACTGTCTGGATAACCCGGCTGGTGGCAGGGATGGTAGCGAATGCAATGGTGGTTTTCTCTTCCAAGCCTGCAGGACAGAAAGGAATCACAACCACACTTGGCCTCTGGCAACCACCATTTTCATTAGGTCTGTTTTTGGGGACTAAGTGAACTGTGTTTTTTTTTTTTTTTTTCCTTTTAGCAATGACACTGGGAAAAAGGTTTGGTTCTCAGAAGAAAATCTCCCTGATGAAATACGTTTTGAAGTAAGAATAAAAATGACTAAGGATCTTAGAGCAAATCATTTTAAACGTTGAACTTTAACAAATTCAAAGTTATTTATTTTATTTAAACAAAAATAGATTTATTTATTTATGCATACAAGAGCGGGGGTGTGGAGGTGGTGGTGAGAGGATTCACCAGAGACAGAGCGGGGGGCAGAACAGGGAGATCCACTGAAACACACTGCTCAGGAGGGCAGCAGGCGAGACAGGAGAGGTCTGCTGCACCATGTGCGTCACTCCTCCTAGCTGGGGATCAAACTCATGCTGCAGTGGCTGTGGATAGCTTCATAGTGCCGAGACTGAACCCCTTTTGCCTGTTGGGAGGCCCCCCAAAACCCAAATTTAATCTGAGAAAGAAATTGCATCATTTGGAATGAGGACAGTGGCCCAGCGCCCCAGGCGACACTAACCGAGGCGCTCCTGCAGGGGCTTGTGCGGCATCAGCTGGGTGTGCAGTACTTACTCCATGAACTCCTTGGGATCTAAAGGTCTAATTTAGGATTTTCTAACTACTTTTGACTTTAAGTCACTTCCAAGGACTCCTCTGAGGCTGTGGCGGAATCATCTTCCTGATTCCAGTTCTAGACAGGCCCTGCACTTAATTCAATGTCACCTTGAAGGCTCTGTGCACCCTAAGGCACATTATACAGGAGAAACATGTTTCAGGGCTATTAGTGTTGGTTTAGAAGAACATACTCCCCCCAAAACAAGTAGCAGGGAGAGGCAGAAGCCTGAGAACCATCAGTTTCAGAGACAGCCTGTGTCCCTGGCTTGGCTCTGAGGTCTACCTTCTGGAGACTGATGACAACTGACCGAATTGCAGCCCAGTGACTGAAGGGGTACGTTACCTCTGGCCTCACTGCCCAGGTCCAGCACGGCTGTGCCTGCCGCTTCATGGGTGCTCCCTGCTGAAGCCTGGCTGGCAAGGATGTATCCATTGGCGGAGCTGGCGGAGGTGGTGACCACCCTGAGCATGGTGACAGGGGGGGCCTGTTGCACCACGTGGATGGCGTGGCCAGAGGGCTGCTGTGCTGTCACGATCGAGGCAGGCATGTAGGCCACGGGCTTGGCCACTAAACTGGGAGGTCGGGGAGGCACAGCCATGATCACTGGCTGGGCACTGACGGGAGAGCCTGCACAGAAGAGCCAAGAGGGAAGGGGTCAGTGGTGGCTCTGGATTCTGAATTCAGAACCCAGTTCTGAATTCTGCCACAGCAGTAGGAGACAAAATCCTACTTACCAGGTGCACTTTGGGAATAGCGATACTCTGGAACAGAAGCTAACTTTGACCCAAAGTCAGGGTCGTGCGGAATGGGTGAGCCCTCCCGAGACAGGCACTCTGGAGTCTGCAGGCCACTAGAACGAGGGGACATTAGCCCGGGGTGAGTGGGTGAGGCTGGAGCACTCCTACAAAGAAAATGGAGAGAAATGGCCACAGTGGTGAGGAAATGTGACGAAGGAAAAGGGTGTTTAACAAAAACCCGAAACATCTTACTGACCGTGCTCCACATGGACAACTTTTCCTGATGCCTCTCTGTGTGTATAAGGAATTTCCAACGTGAACATTCCCACTGCCTCAACTTACCACCAGTAAATGTAGCACAAGCCTACAGGTGGCGCCTGCAATGTCTCGACTTCCCCAACAGGGCTGCCATCCCACGTGGAGCATTTACTTCCTGAGAGGGGCCAGTCGGTTGCCCTCCAAAGTGTATGTTCAAATATACTTTTGCAGGACACCCAAAAACTCCCCACTAGGGTGAGTCGAGAATTGAGAAGGCAACGCACCACAATTTCCCTTCCATGGACAGTAAGCCTCGAAGACCCCTTCTTTAGTCACCACTCGCCTGGGCCCCAGCCTCCCTCCTCATCCAGCCCTTCCAGGCACAGCAGTGCTCCCGTCAGGGAAGAGAGTGAGTGCTGGCTGGGTGCCTCACACGCCTGTGGCAGAGCTGCTTCGAGGGAGGTGCTGCAGGCTGTGAGCACTTCCACCCGTCAATGCCTGACGCTGTCCTAATCGGCACCCGCTGCAGCTTCTAAGGACGGGCACGTCAGAGAAGCAGCCGGCAGTGCGCTTCCTGAGTGTGCTATTCCACGTGTTTATCAGCCCCGAGATAGGATCTTGGCAGAAGTGAAGGATGTTTGGGGAGGCCAGCCCCCCACAGACACAGGCAGGGCAGAGGCTTACCGTGATGACAGAGGTCCAAATGGGGTCCGGAAGCAGGAGACACCCCGCTGCCTCCGTTTTCGGAATGCCTGTTCCACAAGTTTGGCCTCTGAGGCAGGGTCAATTCTCCAAAAAGACCCCTTCCCAGGTTCCTCCTGGGAACGGGGGACTTTAATAAAGTAACGGTTCAAAGAGAGGTTGTGTCGGATAGAATTCTGCAGGCAAGCACAGACATTCACTACTCATTAACAGGTCAGGAAACATGCCAGCCCAGCCCAAATATGAACACACGTAGGGGAAAGACCCAGTGCTCGTGCAACGGAAGGTTTTTCATGTGCTAGCAAGGTAACTGCGTTTCAAATGGGGGCGATGTAGTTTTTTTTGCTATCAAAATTCAACACAGTCTCATCACCACTCTTTAGAAAAAAGCAAAGTAGAAAGACAACCCATGGTCTAGGAGTACGCCGAGGCCAAACTTGTACTGGAAAACCAGCAAGTGGGAACTAACCACCTGTGAGCTAACATAAACACACGGGACACCGGAAGCCTGCCGCAGACAGGGGGCCTGCAGTCCTACACGGAGGCCAAACCGTCCACACACGGGCTGCTGTCTGAGTGGCGAGAACAGTGCCTTTCCTACCAGCGCAGAAACGCCGTGATGCACGCCTGCCGACTGCCTTCTCTGGTCAGAGTGCGGGACTACGAGACTCGTGGGCCCCGAGCCCGCGTCAGATCCACCACAGGGCACGGGAAAGCCTTCTGCCCCCCTTCTGTTTCTCTTCGTCACAGGGGTCAGGTCAGAGTCTCCTGAGAGCCAGGTGTGTGGCGCTGGGGCCTCACCTGCCAGCCCTTGTCAGCCGTCCTGTAGTAGGGGTAATGCTTGGTGATGTGGGCGTAGATGCCGCTTAGTGTTAGCTGCCTGTCCTGCGCGGAGGAGATGGCCTGCACGATCAGCTGGGCGTATGAGTACGGTGGCTTGGATTCGTCCTGGGAGGAGAAGCAACAGGGGCTGGCCTGAGAAACGCCCGAGTCCAGCCTGCCCGGAGGTCACCTCCTCACAGCAGCCCTCCCGGAAGGCTAAGGGGCGCTCAGAGTCTGATTCAGTCCATCCCAATGACCACTACCTTTTATACCCAAATCTGTACTAAATCAGGAATGGTGATTTCTGCCTCAGGGAAGGAAAAATGGGGTTACCATAATTTAAATCTGAAAAGTCTCATCTCCTCTACAAGTTGATTTAAAAAGTTAATGAGACATAAAATTGTAAGGAGAGAACCTGCCATTTTTCTCAGGCTCCAATTAATGCTCCGAGGCTGCTCTAACAGTGGGCAGGATGAGAAGCGGCCAGGGTGCAGAGCGGGAGCGAGTGCGAACACGCGCCCAGTCACGCACAGGCCCGTGAGCACAGGGTGCTGCCTGGGCAGAAGCCTCGCTAGAGGTGCTGCCCATCATGGTGGCCCACTTCCACGCCTCACAGGCAACCACGCTGTGGCCCCTGGAGCACCTGCGTGTGGCCTGACACGGCGCCCATGCCCGACAGCCCCGCGGGTCAGATGCACTGGGGCGGGCAGAGACCTTGGGGCTGTCCCCTCCGGACGTGTCTGCCTGCTGCTCTGAGGCGGCCTTGGCAGCAAATTCTGCTGCCAACTGCAGGTCTGAGGTCACATTCTGGACAAAGCGGTAGCCGGAGGATCCAGCTCCCCGTGGACTGGCCGGGCAGGAATTGGGAACACTGTGGAGAGAAAAGGCAGACTGTCAGTTCACGGCGCCGGACGGAGAGCCTGCGCAGGAAGCGGGGCCCAGGGCCGGCTGGCCGCCTCCGCACGGAGGAGCCTGAGCTGCCCCTCTCCACCCTGCTGCCCAAGCCTGGCCGGGGACAGACAGTGCAGCTGAAGGGCAGCAGTTCCGGAGCCAAGACCCAGAGCCAGGCAGCAAACACCGTGTATCTGAGTGACCATTTCTGCCCACTGGCAGCGGGCCCTGTGGGCTCTGAGGACAGGGCAGGACAGGGCTCTGTCCAGTGCTCACTTGCTGCACGGTGGTGCTGAGGACAGGACAGGAAAGTCACGGATCCAGGGAACGCTCACTGCTGGCAGAAGGGGAGGTATCTGCTGGAGCCCCGCCCAGTCCTGGGGGGGCTGGCGGGGGCAACTGGCCTCCGGGGGCCTCGGCTACCACTTCCCTGTCATGGCACACGCTCGCTCCTCTCTCCCAGACTGCATGAAGTGCGTCCAAGGCTGGAGGCTGTGGCCAAATCCAAGGCCTGGAAACATCTAGGCCCCTTCCTTGCAGACGTCCCATTTCAAAGCCGAGGCTCACCCTGCACTCTCTCGTATCAGACCGTGAGGGCCTCGCTCGCCAGTGACAGTCAAGCTTTGGCTAGTTATTAGCCAAACAAAGTAGACTTTGGCATCAGACACATCAACATTTTGATTCTGAAAAGTAATTCTAACTAATATTCAGAGAAAGACCAAAGAAAGATCTAAAAATGGGCAAAATCCGGGCAGAAAATGCTGCTGCTGATCCTGGTGGCTACCCACAGCTCCTCCCTGCCTTGCTTCAGTCTCACCAGGACCAGAGGCCAGCTATTCCGAGGTCACACCACCCCGACCACCCAGAAGATGCCGTACAAGCTCGCTCCCTCCGCAGAGTGAGTTCCTCCACTGTAAGGCCCTTCCCTGATGCCAAATACTAGAGCGCCTCAAATCCTGCGGGACCAGCTCAGGGCGACTGCCTCTCGTGTCTCTCCTGACATGCTAGCCAGAACCTTCCTCATTTTTGGGCCCGGTAGTGGCAACTACTGGCCTACATATTTGTTCCCCTCAGACAGGGCGGAGGTGGGGGCCCATCTGTGACTCTTACGGGGGCTCCAGAAATAGCTACTGAAGAGAGGAAGAGATCAATGAAAAAGAAAGTACTGTAGCTGAGAACTACTTGGCAACTTGTGGTCAGTTCAACCCGGGTCTTTACCACTTGTTGGGAATTCTTACAAGGGGATTCTCATTCTTTTTTAGGTTCCTCAAGGATGGGAAGGCTAGGTAAGTCCTGTAAGTATAGAAACGTCAATCAACAACCATAAAGAAGGTTGGTGACGGCAGGAAGCAATAAAAGCTGTCTTTGTGCATTTTATTCTGAACCAAACATAAAACCCAAGCCTAAAGTAAGGCGTGCAGGAAGAGGGCCTTGACAAAAGCTGGCTTTACGTGCATCCACGGGGAGCCCAGTGCCGCGGGAAACAGCGCGAAGCTGTGGTCCCAGGCACATGCGCCCCAACGGGGCCCCTCCTGAGGGCCGCACTGCACCCTGCCACATACGCGGCTGCTGGAGGCGCCGCTGCTCGCAGCATCAGTCCCGGGCACACGACACCCTTCTGGGCAGACCGAGTCGACTGAACAGCACACTTCACTCCTGGTGACAGGCTGGGCACACCGGCTGTGTGGCCCTCAGGGGATGCACTCAGCTGGGAAACCGCCTGTCCAGCCATGTGGAAGGGGCCCACGCTAGTGATGCTGACAGCACCTTCCCCTTGCCGGAGAGGACACCTGGGGCTCCTATCTGTAGGCACCTGGGCTGTGCTATTCACACCCAGGTCATTACTTTGTTAAAAAGTGCAGGAAATTTACATTAAGAAGCAGGCTCTGCAGCAGGAGTCCGGCAGCCCCTGTGCCTCCTTCCATAGTTTGGCCGACTCTGGACAACCCCTCTCTGTGAGGCTTCATGGACAGCTCCGCACGTGTCCCACCAGCCCAGCCCTGCCCAGCCCAGCCCAGGCCAGCCCAACAGGCCTTGTGAGTGGCCAGCTTCTCTCCTAACATTCGGGATCCCACAAGCTGTTCTTGGCGAGGCCTGTGCCTGGTACCCGAGCCCTGATCCAGGACAAAAGTGCCTGCAGGCTCGGGCCAACTCAGGCCACACACACTCAACTCACAGATAGGCCAGGGGCTGGAACCTGGACTGGGGCTTCTGCTCCAGGGAGATGGCCCAAGATTTCTGTGTCTAACACCAGGGTTTCATCCTGCTCCACCTAAAACTTCGTGACAATTAGCAAAATTGAGAAAACCTCCTACAGTATAATAGATAAGAATCTCTCTTGAGGGAGTGGCGAGAAGACCGGACCGACTGGGATGCCAACCTTAACGAGGAAATGGGCCCAGCACGTGAGAAGCCCGAATGTGGGGATGGCCTGCCAGGTCACATGACACAAACACCGTTCTTTCAGGCTTCAGATGAAAAGTGGATATGATGAATGTGCACTGTGGCTCACTGACCACTGCGCTACCCCCCTTCTATGGAAAACAATTCCTAAGTCACATTTCTGTTCTGGGCAAGAGACTCCAGGTCCTGAAGACGACTCCTGGCACTTCTGGCCTGTCCTGCCAGCAGCACTCCAGGTTGGGACGCTCTCGCCATGCAGACCCCACGCCAGCCTGCTGACACCCAAGTTTAGAGGTCCCTGCATGAGCGCCAAGCCACAGTTGGCAATCACTCCACAGCCCATGTTTACAAAGCAGGAAAACAAATGCGCAGCCTGACAGAGGGGATGTTTCCCGGTCTTCCAGTGATGGCAGGATTTCCAGCTGAGAGAAAGACACCTGACAGAGGTCCAAAGCCATTGCACCTGCAGACACCAGCCTTTTCCATGCTGCCCACTGCCACCCTGCAGCCATTCCACCCTGCTGGCAAGCCTGCTTCTGCTCTGTGCAGTGAGCAGCCCTCCTGCCATTCTCCTACTCAGCCTCCCAGAAAGCAGGCCCTGAGGCTCTGGCATCACAGCTGGCGGCAGACAGCCCAGTGCTGAGGCAGAGCTGCGGACAGGGCCCTCTGGGTGTCACCTGAAGAAGCCAGAGGGCCTTGCAGGGGAGGAGGAACATGAAAACAAGTCAGGGCAAATTCATACCCTGAGGCCAGGAGCATGGAGGCTGGGGGTGAGTGTTTCCTATACTGCACGCCCTCCCCCACCAAAGCAGCCTCCGTGAGCTCCTGCCCCACACTGCCACCCCAGAGGCCATCCAAAGGCTTTCTGGTATTATAGTCTGTTTTCCCCCAAGGTATATTGAGATTGTAATTCGATTATTTTTCAATTAAAATATAATTAGTTCTCAATGGGATGGCCACTGAGCTGAGACTTTTCAGGCAGAAGATCAGTTTTGATGACTACACAGAGGTAAAGTGGTAATTTTTACACAGAGGTAAATTCTGGTTTTCATTTATGTCTAATTTCTTTTGAAAATCAGGATCTTTTTTAGTGTAGAAAATATGTGCCTCAAAGTATATAGAATTTCTTATTCAAAACATTTTAGTAACTTGAGAGACGCATTTTCCCAAAGATAGTGAGTATGTCATACTTCACTGTCAGTATGAACAGCCAGCAGGCACACCTGTCGCTTGCCACCATCGGCGACACAGTGCAAATAGAAAACCAAGAGCACAGAGGCTCAGGGCAGCACCACAAGCCAGGCAGAAGCTGGGCATGGCACACAAAACATGACTGGCATCCTCAAAGAGGCAGAGAGATTATTTACTACGAGGGAATGAAAATACTATTAAAAGGCTATTTGACAATCAAGAAAATATTCTCAAAATTTTAAAAAGAGGAGAAGTGACTGGGTCACAAGATAAACATCAGTAGACACACTAAGTTCGAAATCATACCAACTATTTTCTCTGACCATGAAGGAATCAAACTAGAAATAAACCACATGAAGAAGGCAAGAAACCCACCTACCACGTGGAGACTAAAACCCACACTACTGGAAGACCGCTGGATCAATGAGGAGATCAAAGAAGAAATTAGAAAATACTTGCAGGAGAATGACAATGACGACACACGTCTCCAAAATGTATGGGACACATTAAAAGCAGTTATAAGAGAAAAATATATAGCAATACAAGCTCACATAAAGAAACAATAACTCAAAGAAACAAATGAATGTCCCACCTTAAAGAACTGGAAAAAGAACAGCAAAATAACCCAAAAGCCAGCAGAAGACAAGAAATAATAAAAGTCAAATCAGAAATAAATGAAATGGAAGTTAGGAAAACAGTCAAAAAAAAAAATCAATGAAACCAAAAGTTGGTTCTTTGAAAAAATAAACAAGATAGACAGGCCACTAGTCAGGCTCACCAAGAAAAAACAAGAGAAAGCATAAGTAAACAGAATCATAAACGAAAGAGGAGAAATCACAACAGACCCAGCAGAAATCAAAAGAATAATCACAGAATACTATGAGCAGCTATATGCAAACAAATTGGGCAATTTAGCAGAAATGGACAAATTCCTACAACTCTACAACCACCCAAAGCTAGATAAAGAAGAAACAGAACAACTAAACAGGCCAATTACAAGCAAGGAAATAGAAATAATCAAAACCTTCCCCCAAAATAAAAGTCCAGGACCAGATGGATTTACAAATGAATTTTACCGAACATTCAGAAAAGAACTAGTGCCCATTCTACACAGACTCATTCAAAAAATTGAAAAAGAAGCAAAACTACCACAAACGTTCTACGAAGCCAACATCACACAAATACCAAAACCTAACACAATTCTATTGCACATTTAATAGGCTACAGTATAAACAGAACTTGCAGATGCACTGGGAAACCAAAATATTTACATGACTTGCTTCAGCATGAGATTCATTTTATTGTGAGAGCCTGGACCTGAACCTGCAGTATCTCTGAGGAGCATGCACAGGTAAAGAAATGGCTAAACAGTTATAATAAAGAAAA